CTACAAGTGCTACCAAACTGTCATTTTTACTGGTATTAACCGGAAGGCTCGACACCCGGTTTTCTGGTCTTTCATCAAGGACACTCAGGCCAACTTATCAAATTCAACTACACCCCCTATCCGGACTTACCACGTATTTACCCCTTTCACATCACCATAATTCTCATTACAAAAAAAAAATATTCTTTCTCAAAACCATTATCTTTAATAGAAATTTTAGAATGAAAAAATAATACTAACCAAAGTAAGTATGCCATGCAATGAATTCTCACATCTCAAAACATTTCTCAAATTTCAAGGCCTCTACAATAATGTCAACAATCATTTGGTCCATTACCTCTTTTCGATACTCTTCCCAAGATAACCATATGTTATCTACACTTAGCAACAATTACACTTTCCACAATTCTTAGCAATATAGTTCCATCAAGACTTAATGTAGGTTTTCCAACATTAATTCCAATGTTTGTAATTTTCACATTTCCAAGGTGCACAACAATCATCATCTTACAACTAATTGCATCCATACATTTAAGAATAGTCCTTAAGGAGTCCTTCATTTTCTATCATCAAGAAAAGTACGATTCTTTATATCACTTAGTGAAACCCACACTCATTGATTCACTTATACACAAGAAGGAAAGAATGAATTTCATGGTTCTTCTCATATTTTTTTTAAAATCCCCAATTTCTAGGGTTTTTCATCAAGGCAAAACACTCCACATTTCTTTAGTAGAACCCATGTAAAATCACATTTTCTTAGGTTTATGGATGAATAATCCTCAAGGAGTAAAAAGGATTGGGTTTTGGAAAACCACATTTAAAACTCTCTACTCTTTTCATCAAAATGTAAAATCAACACAAAACTTCATAAAAACCCTTTAAATCATCCACAATATAGTAAAACTTGCATATATAACTCAAGAATGTCCCTACCTTAAGCTTGATGAAGAATTTAAGATGAAACCCTAGCCCCAAGATGGAAACTCTTCACTTTCTCCTACACCAAGAAAGCCCTAGCTCTAAATCTTCAAGCTTGAGAAAGATGATGATGATAATCAAACCCAATGGAGCAAGAATCAAAGGTTCTTGGTGCTTTGGTTAGGGTTTTTAGGGGGAAGGAGGAGCGAATGGCTTTTAGAGAGAGAGAGAAGGGTTAGAAAATGAGAGATCTTCGGCCCCAAAATGATAAAAAAAAAAAAACAGAGATTTTGGACTGCCAGAGTACCGCACGTGCGGCACCTATCCCCGCACGTGCGGAGCGCCCCTTCCCGCACGTGTAGCCTTCATCCTCGCACATGCAGGGCTCCTCCCGTACCTCCCTCCCTCATGTGCCTTTAGGCCGCGTGCAACTCACCCAAATCGCCCACTCACGCACGTGCGGCCTCATCCCCCGCACGTGCGGCCTTAGGCCCCGCACGTTCGGCCCTGGCCCAGAAAAATTTTGCTTCGCTCCAAGGCACCCCGGACCTGACCCTACGCTCCCCGGAAACGAAGAAACCTCAATACCAAATGAAACAAGAACAAGAGCTTAGTTCGGGAACATCCTCCGAACATCTCGAACTCAAAAACGACGAGAATGGAACGAAATGGAAAAAGAAAGTAGAAGAAAGGGAAACGAGACCCGATCATCACAAAAGTCTTCTTATTCACCCAAAAAAAAGAGTCAATATCTTCTTGACTTTGGAATCCAATTGGATATGGATGGATATTTGTCTGTCTTGTTTTGTTTTTTTTTTTTTTTTGTTTTCTTTTTGGTTTCTTCAACATGTTAGGATGTTTGTTTTGTTAATAAAATTAATGTAGGAAAGTGTACCACTTTAAAGGATAGCCTTCAAAACCTAACATTTCACTCATCTTTTTTATTTTTTTTTCAAATTTTTATTAAAATTCATAATACAATCATAGTTAAAGGATTTATCAAACTGAAGCTAACAGGTACCCCAAGTCACAATTTGGTGCAACCTATCCACAAAAATAATTTCCAGGAGATGAAAACAAAAGAGTCCACTTTCCATCTCAATACAGTGGAATGAAGTTGATTTAAATGTGAAGTTCATGAATTTAGACAAAACAATGGTGAGGATAAATTTGCATGACGAAAAAAAAAGGAGAAATTATATATATATCTGAGGATTTAATCATTGTGACAAAATAAACTTTAAAATTTTTAATTTTATCAATTTAAATTCTAATCTTTTAATTTATTTTCAATATAAGTTATTCGTCTATTTTCATTAAGTAAAACTAATGAAAAAAATATGTTTTAGTTATTAAATTTAATTTAGGTATACATAATATATCTAAAATACTATTTTAATTGAGTTTAATAACTAAAATTTTATTTTATTTTTTCCATTAGTTTTTACTTAACGAAAATAGATAAATAGTTTAGATTGAAAATAAATTTAAAAGATTAGGATTCAAATTGACAAAATTAAAAATTCATAAGTTTTTTTTTGTACATCTATAACATTCAGGAAGAGAGAAATTGAGTCGCAAAGAGAGAAAGGCCGAGAGACAGAGAGACAGAGACAAAGAGAAAAAAAGGAACTCAAGGCTTGAGAATTGAAGGAAGAACAAAGGAGAAGAGATCGTGTGGTAGGGGAGGGAGTTCGGAATTAGGGTACAGAGAAGGGACAATTGATCCTCAACACTCAACTAAAGTCTCAAGTAGGATGGTAAGGCCTAGCAATTGGGTCTTCGGTGTTCTGTGTTTCAATTGCGAAAAGATGCCTTTCCTTTATCCTAATTAAGCCTTTTTGGTTCCCACTTCTTTGAGTTGTTTTGCACAACTGAGAAATTTCAAAGTTTTTACAAAATTGACAAGTTTGTCAACTTTCATAAAATTTCACAGTTATGTACAAAAACATGAAATTTTTTGAATTTTTTATTTGCAAAAAGATTTTAGAAAGAAAGTTCAAGACAAGATAAAAGCGAAAAAATATATAATTTTTTTAAATTTTCCTCTGTCTTTTCAATTCTCTTCACAAATAGCTTCTCCAATCCAAGATCTCGGCAAAACCTAAACGATTCATGTCTGTTGTAAATTTTGTTTCAACAACAAAAAGGCATTGCATGGAACACACAAAATGGGAATAAAAAAAGATTTGTAACAGTTTTCTACAACCCTAAATTGCCAAACAAATTAAGGTTGTCCAAGTAGTTTTGGCAGTACATCCTTAGGTCATGACCAACTTGTTCAATGTTAAGCTTTTATAATTGGCAATTTCGTTTGACAGAACTCCTTTCAGTTGTAATTTTATTCGCTCTTATGTTTCAGTGAGGATGTGAGTGTTTAGATGTGAATCTAACCCGAATTGTGCCAATGCAAAGGAGTTTGTGAACTTGAGGCTTTCATATTTGCCACTTCACTCGAGCGGTTATTTGTGCGCTCAAGCGGTGAATGGCATCATCCAGTATTTTTGAAGAAAAGATTGAACTTTTGAGAGAATCCTTTATGCACTCGAGTAGTGGAGTCTTGGTTCAAACAATGGGCAGGCGTTTTAGTGAGTTCGCTCGAGCGATTGAGTGGTCGCTTGAGCTGTCTTCGTAGCTCTATTTTCTATAAAGTGCGTCATTCGCTATTTTAAGGATTTAAATTGTCCCGAATATTAGAGAGAAAGAAAAGACAACGAGTTTTCTATTGGAGACTATTTTATATGAGTTTCCTTGGTGTATAGAAGGTGATCAATTGATCAACGAACTACAGATTGTCAAACATCAAGGGTTGTTCTTATTATTTCGTTCACAAAAGAGTGAGGTGTTCTTCAGTGATTTCGGGAAACTTGAGCCTGAAGCTTTGGTAGATTCTAGAGTAGCTCATCGTCGTGGATTTAACATCAGCATTGTGGATTCAACGTTGGACAAGACAATTCCGAAGTGAAGACGGTGGTGAAAGAGGTACATCGGGTTTGGTTTAATTCAAGTGTGGATTCACTAGGTAATTAAGAGTACTCTTGTATAATTCCTTTTAGTCTTTTTAGTGGATTGTTTTATAACTTTGGCCTATGGTTTTTTTTATCAAAATTGGAGGCGCTCCAATTGTGGTTTTTTCCACGTTAAAACATTGTGTCGATTTGTTTTTCATTGTTTGATTGCGATTGTTATTTATTGTTTAAAATTGAAACATAATCACAAATCAGTATCTCAGAGATTTTAGTTGTTTTTTCATTTAAGTTTGGGTTGTTCGACATAATTACATCGAACAAATCATGTTTGTTTAGTAGAATTTGGAATGGTCATTCCATTAGAGCTTAAGAAAATGATCTTTTCATTCCAATCCATTTGACACTATTTTAGTGATTCGAAGACTAATTATCTAACACCACTGCATCAGTTGGACTTTAAATGATGATAAAATCAAGATTAGTTTATGCTGAGGAAATGGAAAGTCAAAAAGGTATGTATGGTGCTTCATATTTAGGGAAATAGGGTAACTGTTGTGCCAAAGGCACAACTGTAACTGTTGTGCCTCTATTTGAGGTATATTATTGGCTTATTTTTATAATCCAAACTGTTCATTTTGTAGGGTTTGTTGAGTACTTCATGCCTATCAAAAGTCATACTAATCAAATATCAACAACTATATGATCGACAACCAAAAAAATAAATATGCAAAAAACATGCAATTCGTGATATCCGATTAAAATGATTTTTGGTAGGCATGAAATACTCAACAAACCCTATAAAAAGAACGGTTTGGATAATAAAAATAAGCTAATAATACACCTCAAATTGAAGCACAACAACATAGTACATGTGTAGATGTGTACTGATTGAGTAAAATTATCATTTTTCATAATTTATCTGATATATAAAGAAAGGTTTGCATTGATAACTACCATTATAAACAACCACTATGCCTAAAATCACAACAAATTAAACCTCAACACATATAATCAAAAGTTCAAAACGACTCATAGGAATTATTTGACAAAAGATAAAATAAAAACATTACAAACAATATACAATGAACGTAGACCACCACCAAAAACAGCTCATTGCCCACCATTGAATGGTGAAATGTCATGGTTTGTCATGCTATCATAAACTGTTGAATTGCTCATACTAGTTTTACCGCCATAAGCATCTAAGAGTTGATCTCCAAGCAAGTGTTGGGTCTCTCCGGAATCTTTGGTGTCTTTTACCCATGGATGTTTCTTTGTCATTCTCAATCCCTCTAGCTCCATTGCTACTTCCTTCATGCTTGGCCTTTCGTCGCCTTTCATTTCTAAGCATCTCTTTGCTAAAATAGTAACTTGCTTTAACATGTCAACCCTTGCTTCATTCATCATCTACTCATCAACAATTTCAAAAAAGCAGTCTTCTTTCATTGCTAAAATAAAATACATCGCTAAATTTCTCTTTGCTTCAGGCCTGCTGAAAGAAATTACCTTCTTGCCGATTAGTAATTTGACAAGGACAACCCCAAAGCTATAAACATCACTTTTTTCAGTCAATTGGCCAGTTTGTAAGTACTTTGGGTCCAAGTAGCCACGTGTTCCTTGAACGAATGTGCTTAACTGAGTTTCATCAATAGCGGTCAACCTTGAAGAGCCAAAATATGATACTTTAGCAGCGTAATTGTCGTCTAAGAGTATGTTGGTGGTCTTAACATCTCTATGAATGATAGGAGTACTAGCGGCAAAGTGTAAATATGAAAGGGTTGTTGCAGTTTTCGCTGCTATTCTTAAGCGGTTCTCTCATGTTATTAAGGATGCTCTTTGGCATGCAGTGTGTATGTGGTCATAGAGAGTCCCATTGGTAATAAATTCATAGACAAGGAAAGGAACTTTTGTCTCCAAACAACACCCTAGGAGCTTCACAACATTTCTATAGTTGACTTGAGAGAGAATTATGACCTCATTACTGAATTGCTCAATATGGGACTGACTCTGATCAACTACTATGGGCTTCTTAATGGGAACTATGGTGTTATCTGGTAATACTCCTTTGTAAACTATTCGTTGGCCTCATTTGCCGAGGACATTATTTTCATTAAAGTTGTTTGTTGCCTTCTTTAGATCCTCTGCAGTAAAGATTTTAGCTGACTGGACCAATCTTTCATGTTTGGAAAGTTCTTGAAACATGATACCACTGTTTTGCTGAAATAATTTTTCTCTTAGGTTAGCGATCTTCCTCTGCTTGGATCCCCAATATAGCGAGGAGCCACCAATAAGTAGCAGTGATATGCCGATTCTAATGCCTGTAGGGATTCAAATGGAAATGTCAATACCGAGAATTTGTTTATGATCAAACAGAAAAAGTAGAAACCTAGAAGATGAAGTGTATAGCATGCACCACACCTAGTATGAATCTAGTCTAACACATTTCATTTTCTAGATCAATTTCAGCTATATTTTGTCAACACTTTTGTTATTTTATTCATCTTTGACTTACCAAACACAACCAAGACAAGAATATGGAAAATAAGATGAGAGAATTGAATTGGTTGTTTAGCTTTCTATGTAAAAGTTAGGTTGCTGAAAGAAAGATGCAAGGAAACTGGAGATATATCATCTTCCAATTGTTTCTAATCAGTGTGTCAATTATTGGGGACAGTAAACTCTAAACTGGAGATAGAGTCCAAATCGCAAGCATTGATTGGTTGAATTTTGATAGAAAATTTATTATGTAGACAAGTTTATGATGAATAACATGTGTGGGTGTACGTGTACCTACCTAGGGAAATATAAATAATCAAGGGAAGCTTGTTGGGAGCAGCAATTCGACTGCAACGTGATCCATTTTGTCTGCTATCACCTTTGTAGCCCACTGCACAAGAACAAGTGTACGTGCCTGGTAAATTAAGGCATGTCATGTTACAGGGGCTTGAAATTGCGCACTCATCAATATCTGAAACAAAGAACAAGCAAGTTTGATCATTGATGTCATATTCAGTAGCTTTGGTGTCTATAATTGTTTTTCTTCCTAGAGTCTCTCATTAGTTAAATATATAGATCATATAGCATCAATAACATTAGGAAGAAATTGTAAAGTTTTTAACAGTAGTTGTGGTTACCTTGACAACCATTAGGAATATAAGGGTTCTCTTCATATCCCTTAGAGCATTTGTGGCGATACCTGGGACCATTGTCGAAGTCTTCATAGTCGCTGTTATCCTTACAAGCAAAACTTGTTAGATTCCTTCTCACTTCATCACATATTTGGTTCCCAATGGCCCAATCAAGCACTACCGGAACATTTTTTCTTCCTTGTATGTCCTTCAGATCTAAAGAAGAGAAGTTGTAAGCAGTTTCCTCAGCAACAAAAGCATAGCTGCAAGGATTGAAACCCCATACAAAGGTATGGTTGTTGTAGCTATTGACACCAATTTCGTAACTTGTGACTCCCTTGGGGATACTTGTCCGGCAACAGCCAATGCCAAAGCGAGAGCCGTTAATCACATTGTCAGTTTTGTCACATAGTAAGAAGCACCCCGTGGCATATTTTTTTCCTACAAATCTTTGATAAATGCGAAGGTGTCATAGCCTACGGTTGTGAACTTGTTTCGGGTATTTAGGATGGGGAATTTAGGCAATGTGATCCATGGGACAAGATAGGTTTCGTGAACACCCCCTTCACTGAAGCAATCATACCCTATCCATGCAAAAATGCGCAATTCACCAGAAAGAAATATGTCTGTGGTCTGTATGTTACTCTCAGTTGCATTTAAATACAGCTTAGGAGGGTTATGGTGGGTGTTGTTACAAGCAACTAGAAATTCATCTACTAGGCGGCATCCTTCAGTTGTGCCAAATGGGTACGGGATTCTAACCAAACTGAGATAAAGAAGGGGATCCTTTTGGGGCAGAATAGGCAACATGAAGATCAGTCCCAACTGAATGTTTGAGCTTTTTGTTCAATATGGATAGCCTCTAAATATATGAAGGAAGACAAAGTTTCCATTGTCATAGCCTTAAATCGAGTGGAAATGGAGGTTTTAAATGCATCATACTCCTCAAGTAGGCCATTTAAGGTTAGAAAAACCAAATCCTCATCATCATTTTTTGCAGAGGCTAAAGCTAGTTTATCTTGAATTTCTTTGATTTGAGAAAAATAAACCTCCATTGGAGAGGACTTCTTGCTAAGTGTCTTAAGTTTGCTTTTGATTTGATGAATATGAGAACGTGATACAGAGGTAAAGTGTTTTTCTAGAAACTGCCATACTTGATCACTGTGGTGAAGATGAAGAACAGAGAAGTAAACTGATGATGATAATGTTGTAGTCAGACAAGTGAGCGGATGTGCATCAATCACTTGCCACTTTGTGTAAGAAGGATTTGGAATTGATTTTCCCGAGGCATCATTGATTTATGGAGATAGACATGGATTTGATCCATTTACATAATCAAGAAATCCAGTTGCTTGAAGCACATTTGTTATCTATGTCTTCTATGGGTGTTGATTTTTGACCACACAACCAAACAGGGAACTCAGTTGGAGAGCACCAGTAAAATAGATTAAGCCCGAACAACCTGTCACAAAAAGATAAGAATCCGGCGGTGGTTCGTCCACCTAGGGGCACTTCGATGATCAAGTCAGTAATCGATATCTCTCAAAGATAACAAATTGTGCTTAAACTCACAAGAAAAAGCTTCACAAATAAAAACCTCTCTTAGACCCACGAGAGTGCCATGCTTTTATAACCAGAACAGACCCAATCCTTTTAGAAGCCTCACTTCCATGGACTCAGGCCCAATGTTCATCCTGGATCCTCATCTAGATAGAGATAAACTCTTCTTGAGCCTTATCTTTATCCAGAATGAGATCCTTCCCTGTTCTAGGACTTTTGTCCCTTATCCGCTAACCTAGGATTTCGGTATCTCTGTAGATAACCTCGGCCTAGTAGAGATCATCTTGATAGTTCGACCAGGCCACATGAAACCTCGGCTGACACTTCAGTGTCACCTTGGCCACGTGCTATTGTAACTCAACTTTTTTGGCGCCCCTTTTCGGGAACACGAAAGAAAGACCTATAGTTCGGACTCCCGTGATTCTGAATCTAATTTCACAAGTGCAATGTGAAAGTGATAATCACCAAAGAGTCCAAATCTGGCAAATCTTTTGGAAAATTGATTTTCAATCAAATAATGCCAAAATTGGACAGTTTTTCCAGATACAGAGTTGCCACCTAAATATTTAATTTTGGAAAAATTTAGGAAACTTTGACTCGTGCCAAAGGTCATGAGTTGAGCACCACCACTTGCCCGATCAAAGATCAGCCTCTACTAATCATGATATGTTTTTTTATCAACATTATGTGTTCTTGTTCCGGTTATTAGCTAACATTACTATGTGATGTGCATACATACAAGTATAGACTAAATTGCAAGAATTGGAACATTTCAAGTCATATTTGTTTGCGAAAATGGTTTGAATTTGCCACCTCAAGTGGGCTTAAAGATGCGGTTTTGCCACCAAACATAGTGGGCTTAAAACATACGTTCGTTGAATCGTTCTAATTCAAATAACAAGCCTTTATCCACAGGGATTCATGAAGTTTAGCATTTAAGCACATAGCCTCATGGCAAGCATGCTAGATATGGCAACGTCAACACACATGCGGTATGCTGAAGCATAAAACTCACCTAGTACTCCAAGCTAGAAAAGAAATGAGTTAGAAAAATGCATGATTCCTAACTATGCAATTATGACTAATGCAACACACGCAATATGCAATTAATAGGCTCGGCTACTAATATGGCATATGAGTCGATTTGAGCAACATGCGATTAAACACGTATTCAAAGAAATATTGAAATGACAATGCAGTTTGAATGATACGCCGAGTCTTGGTGCATGCAAGACGAATGAATGGATACAAACATGCCAGCATAAGGTATGCTAATTGAAAATGTCCCTAATCTAACCATAAAAAATGATTAAATAAAAGGGAGAAAGACCTGGGATTGGAAGACATACACATACGCACGCACACATATTACAACATTATGCCCTTGCGAAGGAAGGTTTAAATGAAACTAGCTAAGCAACTAGCTACACTGATCAAACTAATCTAATTAAACTAATTAGACTAATTATTACAAATTAAATGAATAACTAGCTATGCTAATTACTAATTATTACAACACTTTAATTAATTAGAAAACTAATTAATTACAACACGCATTCAGACTACATATTTAAACACTAAATAAGCTTTGAAATGCAAGGGAGGCACATGCACGCGCTCGGTTTCCACCCAAAAAGGCACTGTCTTGTTGCTGAATGCCTCTGTTTGCATATTTGGTCACCAAAGAAGCTACCAACTTCCAGAACACTGTAGACACCCCATTTTTGATGACCCCTTGAAGACTTGGATGTTCTTGTAGGTACATGGATGTTCTTGTAGCTACATCCGATATTGAGTTTGATTTCCCACCAAACGCTCGAAGTCTGTGGCAGAACGCCACAAGTTTGAGTTCTCTAAACCCAGTATCCATTTTGCCTAATCTTTGGATCATGCTTGGGTCTTTTCAGGGTGAAGTTTTTGATGGCCTGCCGGCCATCCTTGAAGGTTGTCGGCCATGGTTCTTGGCCTGTCAGCCATTGATGTGCCTTGCCGGCCATCAATGAAACCTTGCTGGCCATCACTGACGGTCGGCCGACCATCAGTCTTTTCTGCACATATTTTGTGCTAGTTGTTTGCACAGGTTCATGCATCTCCCAACACGTGTGTGGCTGGATGTTTGTGAGGGGATTTTGTATTTTCTATATATAGGACCCCTCTCTTGCATGTGGGGGGGTTAGAAAAATTTGAAGACAAAAACTCTCTCTCTCTCTCTCTAGATTTCTCTCTCTCTTACAATTTTGTGCCTTGAAGCTTGATTTCTCTACACTTTTGCATACACTTCCTTGATAGAAGTTACTTCACTTTGAGCTGAGGTTCATGGAGACTTGGTTTGAGCTCTAGCAAGTGGTTTGGGCTTGGATTGTTGCCTATTTCGTACCTTTGCTTCATGAGGTATAACATTTGTTACTTAAGCTTGTTTTCAATACTTGGTTTGCCATCTTTTTCTACTATTTTGGGGCTGGTTTTGGCATGTAAAAAGCTCTACTTTTGAGGCCTAAAAGTGGTGGTTTGAGCTCTTTTGAGTTAGGGGGTTGTCCACCCTTTTTGCTTTTTAGCTTGCTAAGCTTTTGGACCATCTTTTCATCACTTTCAAACCAACTTTTCTGACCCTTTTAACCACTGAATTTCAGAGGTTTTTCAGTGATAAAAACCCTGTTTTGAAGTCTAAAACTGGAGGGGTTAGCCTCCCCTCCTTGCGTCTTGTTTGCATGCCTAGTTAGGTTCATGAGTTAGCATGTTTTTCTAGCATAATTTAGCTTAAGTCCAGCATGTTTTTGCCTCTGTTTTGATCTAATTTGGCTCTGTTTTGGGCTGGTTAATTCAGTTGAGGCTTGTATGGAATAGTTGTAGTGTTAATTCCTTCACTAGCTTGATGTTTTCATGCTTTAATCATCATTGTTTTAAGTTCAAAGCATGTTTTAGTGTTGTTTTGCACTGTATTTCAGCACTTAAAATCTCTGCAACCTCCCTCCATTCTTCACTCTTTTGTTTGCTTTGAAAGTGGTTTAAACCATTTGCTTGCTTAAAGCATGAAATTGAGATGTTTGTGCTTAATGGTTTAATCCCTTTTGGGGTTCATTACCAACGGCATGAGGTCTCTTTCATGCCTAAAACAATCTTTGGTTTGAACTCTCTTTCCTTTAGAGGACACTCACTAATGGACTTAATCGATTAAAGAATGGATCAGTAATGTAAAATGAGTAAACAAATTGGACAAGTAAAATAAGCTAGATAAGCACTCTTTGTGTTGCATTGCATGTGTTCAAACCGGACGTTAGTTTGAACATAAGGCAAGTGGGACATTTCATACTCAAAAGTGATGAAATGTGTCATTTTCCTTGGTCTCCATTGCCCTTGATCATGCATGATAGGGTGGTGGTCATTCGACTCTTATTTGTGCATTTATTGAAATTGTACAACTTGGATCTTTGGCCATCATGCAATGAAATATCTTGATTGGTGGTTTTGGATCCAAGTGTGCCACTCCTTTGAGGTTTTGAGATGATAAGGAGGGGTACAGTACAAACATACCCTTGGAAAAACCTTCTGTTTGCTCTGTTTGTGCTTCGTTGCAGTATGGTGACCCAGAGCATCAGTGGCCTGCAGTGCCTTACTAATGGCTCGCAAGGCTTCATTTCTGGCCAGCAAGGCACCCTTTTGGCCGGCAGAGGGCCGGCAACATCCATCCATGGCCGGCAAGCCACTGATGTAATCCTCAGCAGAGATTTGGTAAGTTGGGGCAGAAATATTCTAAAGTCTTTTCGGGGAGAAAATCGAAACGCATGCATACTCCATTTCCCGAGGCCTAGTAGTGGCAACGTAGCTTAATATGTTAATTGCTTAGTTTATTCGCCTTGACATTGTAATTTAATTAATTAGTTTACTAGTTGATTAAAGTGTTGTAATAATTAGTAATTAGTTTGCTAGTTATTCATTTGATTAGTCAATTAGTTTAAATTGGATGAGTTTGATTAGCTTAGCCTAGATTAGCTTAACTCTTATTCATTCGGACCCTCCTTCGCGAGGGCACAATGTTGTAATAAGTGTGCGTGCGTTTGTGCATGTCTTCCAACCCCACGTCTTTCTCCCTTTTATTTAATCGCTTTCGATGGTTAGATTAGGGACATTTTCAATTAGCATACCTTCTGCTTGCATGTTTACATCCATTCGTTTGTCTTGCATGCACCGAGGCTCGGCACATCATTCAAACTGCATCGAAATTTCAATATCTTCTTTGAATACGTGTTTAA